TTAGACACTTTTAGCTTAAAACATCATCCTTTGAATTAAAACAGCGAACAATAAGCTTTAGCTCCCTCTTTCACCACTATTCACCGTATAAATTTATTGTTGTAAACACATGTTTTGTATGTCACCATGCTTGAAGTGACTCATTACAGATCAATCACATTGATAATTTATTATTTGTTATGAAATGTAGTCATATTCAAAGCAATCTATTATGTAAAAATTAAATAAAGATTGCTACTGACGTCAAAAGCACGAGTTGAAGTCCTCCTTCATATCAGGCAAACTGAGAACAAAAGCCATCAGGAGCATCCAATAGAAGCCTGTATTGATGATGTCACACTATGGCTCTGCAATCATGACTGCTCTTGCACATGTCAGCATTGTGTTTGCTCACACTTAACATGAGAAAAAGTTGAACCATCCAAATTTGAATCAGAGTAACGTCCTGATGAATTTCTGGCACATGGCCGCGGTCATTTGGCGAGAAGGACATCTAACTTACTTTACCCGTTTTTAAAGTTCTTGTGCTATAAAACCCCTATTACGGCCACAAGGTCAAGAAACTCTGGGGACCAGAGCTATATTCTGACATCATCAAATTGGTAGATTTGTTTGCTCGTCTCATCCCCCCCTTTTTTTTACTCTGAGCATTCTCATGGTGGAACTGAACTCCCAAAATAACTATTCTTTTTTTAATAAATGCAAAGAGAAGCTGCCACCTTATTGATGATACTGGTATTAATGACCAATTCCCTGTTTAATGATTTTATTTTCCATAAAAGCAATGTGATTGATCTTTAACAAACAGAAGATGTTTGGAAATAAATCAAATCACTGAATGCCTCCTGTCGCAATTTTGAACGATCTTGTAATGGTACATGTACTATGTAGGAGTTGATGATGCCATTTCTGTTGTTATGCTAGACTCGGGTCGGCCTGTATGGCTTCAGCTTTGAGGACTGTGGTGGCTCTTCGGACCCCCTGCATGGCAATGTCAGTCTCTCCCCAAACGACCCTGTCACCCTGCCCGGTAAGCTCACGGTGTCTTTCAATGCCTCATTCGGCGTGGACGTGAAGTCGCCACTGAAGGTTGTTCTTGAACTCAAGAAAAAGGTGAGTCTGTGACTTGCTGGACTCCATACTTGGACAAGAGAGGGAGCTGTGTTGCTATTGTTGTCCCTTTTAAGGGCACATGTACTTCAGGGGTTCCTTATAAAATTCAGTGTTGTAGTCGAGACCACTTAAGACCACCACAAGACCTCCAGTCTGAATTCAAGTCAAAGCAAAACAAAAGCAAAACTGGTAGTTGTGACTGGTCTTGTGCCTGGGCTTGTGTCTTGTAATGGTCTCGACTGCAACACTGCCTTAATTAGGGAGCATCTCAAAGGTTTGGATAGCTTTGGAATGCATTATTCCCAGGATGTCTGTAATTGGAGCAGGCCATTCTAGAGTCATCAGTGTGCATGCACAGAGACCAGTGTTCCCTAATAGGGATTGGAACAGGCAGTGTTCACATTGGAAGATTTGATAGCAGTCCAACTTCCGAGATGTTCCCTTCTCTTATCTGTACTGATACTGTAGGAGGCAGCAGGGACATACAGTAAACTCTGGCTAAGTCGGCACTCTCGGGACTCGGAAATTATGAGGACTTACACAAATGCCGACTTGTGCTGTAAGTCGTCATTTTGCTGACTTACACATTCACATGTATTGCCTATTTACTGTACATTATGATTCCTTGCACTAATTCAGTGGCTTTGATTTACCCTGGTTTATTTTTGGACATGTACCTCCATGTCCAATCCCAGCAAGTTCGTTCTCAATTATTATCCTCACAGGCTGCAAATTTGATAATTGACCATGTGTTCCTAAGGACGAAGCAAAGACGGCAAGCCACTTAAAAATATCACATCACGACTCGATAGTGCAATATGTACATGATACAGTTACGGTACAGAAAACATACACTCATCTACACGCATTGGTTAAGTTCGTTAAATAAGGCGACCCCTAAAATGGAGAGAGTGCATGCATGTAGCACTAGAGGGGTTACTGGTATTGATGTACTCATGCTGGCCGATTATCAACCACGGCCTGTGTTGCTAATAAACAGACATCGGTCAAGCAGTGTGGGACTTGTCACTTGACACTTCTTGGCTACCATGGCAAAGGACACTGGTACCAAAGCACTATTTTTTTTTTAATGCGGAATTACATGAAGGAATTTTCGTGGTTTTGTGGGAAAGGGACTGAGAAAGACATGCCGACTTATACGCAATGACGACTTATAAATGCCGACTTAGAAATGAAAGTTTCAATGGAAATACATTACAGAAGATTGGGACTTTTGTCAAAAGCTGACTTAGATGATATGATGAGTTGCGCGATGCCGACTTAGTCGGAGTTTACTGTACCTGTAATTAGGTTGGGCAGTGTAAGGGAGAAGGCCGACCTTCCAGTTTCAAAACTGGAAAAAAAATGGGATTTTTTATTTTGAGAAGTCTCTGATCCACCAATCAACAATTTACCGATATGTAAATGAAACCCCCCCCCCAAATTGTTTTTGCTGTACCGTCTGACCGACAGTGAAGTCCCCAATTTCAAGTTTGTGAGGTTTGGTCCTGAGTGGTTAGCACTAGTGGTAAGAAATACCTCATAGGAGGGACATCACAGACCTCTGTTTGGGGGGCGTGTCTGCTATGCCCCCTTCTCCCACCCCATGTACAGTGACACCACCCAAAGGCAGTCCCTTTTTCTCACTCCTTAGCCTTGGGTGCACCGCTGTAAGAAAAAAATTAATAAATAAAATCAAAAATAACTGGTCCCCTGATGTACGTGTTGCAGGAGCTTATTTGGATAGATTTGCCTTGCGTGGACGGAATTGGATCCTGCACATACGATGATTTCTGCAAGATGCTCCCCCCCGAGCCGGCCTCTGGCTGCCCACCCCCGCTGAAGGAAAAGGGTCTTCCATGCCGATGTCCCGTCAAGGCGGTGAGTTGGGTTGTGCAAGATGCATCCGTGTCTTTGAATTTACCATGTCTAACCAAAGAGTAGGGCCTGAAATTTTGATCCGAGATTCCTAACGGAGACGGTTGATGTCAACAAAATGGGGACGGGAGGCATGGCCTGATGTGTATTAGGGGTCAGGAATTTGGGGCCAAATGACTGTGGACTTTCTAATTCTAAGGTACCATAAAAGACGTCGCTTTCTCTGTCATTGTTAGTCTTATTTTTGCCTACCAGTGACTAGTACTGTACTTAATGTACATTTTGCTGTTGCTGATGTTGTCAAATCTATCACATTCACTAGTGGATAACAAGTCAACTCAGTAGTCTAGTCACAACTTAAATAAGAAAGAAAACTTGTAAGCAGTCTGATACTGTATGACTTATGTTGAATGTGTAAGGACCTGTAATGAATTTGGCTACAGTGGAATGTGAAAGGGAAGTACATGCATATGTATTGGAGCTGCTTTTTGTAGATATATGTATTTTTAGCAATCTGCTCTGAATGAACAGAAGTGATTGAGGCTATGTTTGATTGATTTAGCTGTGGCTAAATATAACATGTGCCCTATGGTAGCCACTGGCAGCTACAGCCATTGGCCATAGTTTTGTACATTAGCCACTCATGTACAGTATACATATATATGTAACTCATACATAGCCTTGTTTTTGTCTTTATTAGAACTCCAAGTAGGGTCTAGTTTTGGTACCATGTGGCTAACTCATGATTTTTTCTTTAAATCCATGCCTCTGTGTATCGTCAAATCCAATTTGGTCTTTCTAGAGTCAGCATGCACACTAATCTCTTCCGGTTGTTTCAAAGTGGATGCGTACAAGCAAATAATACACCACATTCATTACAAGTTTTCAGTGACGTGCACAATCCAAGAAACATCATCACAGCTTGTATGGTACTGTGACCAAATTTCCTTGTAAAGATGGTGTTACGTCTAAAGGTACATGCATGCATGGCATCCATTTAATTAGCCTAACGAGCTTTTCATTGTTTTATATCATTCAGGGCAAGTACTCCCTGCCCCCTGCAGTGTTTACCATCCCCACCATTCCAAAAGTCCCAGAATTCCTGGCCGATGGAGACTACAAAGCCAACGTCAAGGCTTACTATGGCAGCAAAGAACTGGGCTGCATCAATCTGACCTTCTCACTCAAGCTGAATGAATAGATCAGCCTTCACCCTTTGTCACGAGATGAGTAAAAAGATGTGCTTTCAGGAATGACAGCTTTTGCACAACAGGAAGATCATTCTCTCTCCAGCATTCTTAAAGAATACCAATGATAGCAAAGGTTGAGAATTCCACATCAAAAATGGTGTTGTGTGAATACTTGTCCTTAAAGTAGAAAAAGGACCACCAATGTACTACTTTCAGTATAAATTTTAACCTGCAATTCAAATTTTTCCCTAATATGCTTACACTTTACTGATTATAAAGATTGATGAGTTTGGTAACAGAATAATGCTACTTGAATAAAACAGCATCATTCAACAAACTATGACTATCAACCCATTAACATTCACAACTAGCAAAGTAATTCTTTTTTTTTATATTGAAAATAGAACTTCACATTGGTGCTAAATGTCGAACATAAGTGGTCCTTATGCTATTTCACTGATAGAAGTATTCACACGGCTCCACCTATGTATGTCAGAACGCTTTGTTCTGTTAATGTGAAATTGTCCTGATGCAAAAAAAAATTTTGCCTGAGTTGTCCAAAATGTAACATCCAGATTTTTCTGTGCTGTGCTTGTGCAGCTGAAATAACTTCCGGGTCCATGTCAACCCCCCCCCCAACTCAGTCTCAGAGGCTTGAAAAAGCAACAGTGCAGTTAGAAATGACTCACAAATCCTGAGAAAATGACCACCAAGGTCCAGCATTCGTAAAGTCTCACTTAAAGGACAGTGGTCGTGGTGTCACGTCAATTTCAAAAGGCAGTATCTTTGGCCAAATATAATACCATGCCTTGGAAAAGTGCAACATGGAATACATGTACCACTGTTGGCAAGTGGTTAAGTCTTACACAATACGCTTTTACAAATATTACAAATAATATGTGATTTGCTAAGTAGCTCAATGAAGTCGAATGCAGGCCTTTTGCCGTCAATTTCCACAAAGTTACTTTGAAACTGATCAGTAAAGCAGTAGATTTAATTTTCATCATAACTTCATCTGTCAAGGATCAAAGAACAATCCAGAAATTGCTTGTTTCATATGTATGCAACTTTACCATTGGCCTGTTGGCCATGTTTGCAGATGAAAAACTCCAGCAGTTTATATATATATGACAGTCATGCATGGAATGGTTGCTTTGGCAGTACATCAGTTCAGTTTATTGCATCTTGGAGGTTTACTTTCCAAATCTTCTTATGTGTAAGAGTCTGATTGTTCAAAAAGAAGTTCAGGAAATCCCAAGTATTTTTCCAGTATACTTGTAACTGTTTGTGTATTTTTATATATTGGAATTTATTGACTGTCATAAAATAATCTTCTTAAGTGAAATGTCTACTGGAATAGATTCTGTGAAGATAAAATTGCAATACAGCGAATCCTGAACATATGTAAATGCTGCAATCTGAAGTACAGTATGTACATGTAGTTAAACATGCTTGTAGACAAGGATGTTGGTTGGAGTCCACCAAAAGTAGAAGTTTGAAAGGGGCTTTGATATACCCCCCCCCCTGAATGCTTCCTTGATTGCAGTAGGGATTTCTAATCATGTTAGATATTCAAATGAAATTGCATTGCAAACCTATACTCCTTTTTTTCATAAATATATAATTTAAGGTTGAATTAAGAAAGTCAAAGGTATTGGTTTGAAGCCTGGACTTGTGAAATCCCTGTCATAGCTCTTCTGAACTGTAAGGTCCAGTGTTTTGTTGGGTATTCCCGTTATCAGTGATGACAGTGGCTTTGACACAAAGGCAATTTGACAAGGATTATTTATCTTATTGCTGACTGCATGTCAGGGTTGGTAATTTGATTGTACCCAAAAATCTCAGAAAAATGAAGTGCGTTATTTCAGCCACGTGACCACAGATCATGGACGTGCACATCTACCTCAAAGCCTGTGGAAAAACTATTCAAATTTATCTTTTTAAAATGGTTAGGAAAAACTTTGTGGTTAGGCCTCTGAATAAGAATGAGATTGATTCAGTCATGCTGGCAAAAGCTGTTAATCACTTGTCCGAATGACTGTTACAGTTTATCATTCAATATGAAGCAACCAAAGCAACTTTTTATACTACAGGTATGCTGAAATACTAAGTTTGTTAGACTAGTGAAAGGCAAATTCCGGTATCTGACTTTTAATGAATGGGTTTTACTTTCTACTGGTTACAGGTGTGAGCCTGTAATGCAAAATTATGCAGTGTAAAGACATTCCCAAATAAAAAGGGCAATTTTTTTTCTGCAGGTTGTTCATAATGCTTGTCAACATTTTTCATTTATAATGAGATTTCTATTGTTTTCTATCGTATGCATAGTGCTTATTGTTTCAAATAAGTACTAATTAAAATAAATAATGTGTGGTTTGGGACCATTTTCAGCCAAAAAATTCCACACTAAATGTAATTATTGAATATGAAATATATCAAGTGACAGGATATGCATGTGCCTTGTTTCGATCAAAATGTGGAAATAATTGAGTTGACACTAAAAAATATTAAATAATTTTGTTTTGTTGGCAAACTGATAATTTTGTACAAATTGTCCTTTATCAACAAATTAGATAAAAAAAAAAGTCTGCATGTGCGTTGTTTTACTTGGAAACTGTAACCAGATACAATACTGAAGCCAATGGTTGAAGCATTAAAGGTTGCATTACACCAGGAGAAGAGAATCTTCATTGTGGGAAGTGTACTGAAGTCCATGGCTATCTCATACTTCCACACAAGAGGCAAAATGGCCCGGTTGATCCGATGCCGGAGCAGGGGTGTTCAAAGTTCAAAGAGTGGGATGAACCAAAAGTAAAAATCGAGGAGGAAGGGAAAATTGTCATCAAATTATTATTACAGTGACATACATCCAATCTGTCAATTTTCTGTTGCTCTCTAAGTTGAGACGACCATGGGCATCGAGAGAATTTTTTAGGGGGCCCCTGGGGTGCATCATCAACAGCAAATTGATGAACCATAACGGATGGCAATTTTTTTTCTGGACTCCTTGTTGCCACGAATGGTAGCAGCCACGTGCTCCCTACTCATCCTCGCAACAAGTGCTACACAGGAAAGTTTAAGTGAGTTGTTGTTTTCTCCCCAAACAGAGCTATTTGTTACCTATGTGTACTTGAGTTTTTGGTGGGGGTTCCCTGAGTAAGAGTTACAGATAAAAACGAGTTAGTGTTATGCTACCTGAACATCACTAGATGTGTAGAAGATACCTGCAAAAAAACACCCGACATTCATATACCGCCCTCTCTTGATGATTTAAAAACGCTGTGTGAGATAGTCTGACACCTAGTTTCAAAGAAAATTCAATTCATCAACATTATTTAAGAAGTCTAGGTGCCATTTCAATGCGCTTCTGTTCTAAATTTCGCCAGAAATGACTTCACGCGATCTTTACACAGTCATTTGATTTGGTCATGATAGTACGCAGGTGGAATTAGGCCTAGGCCCGGCCGTGTATACAACTTTCTTTTTTACTCACAAAAGTCTCAGGAAAGAAGTAAACTGTAAAGCTTTAATGGACTCACGAAAATAAGAATTTTTTTTAACGCCTGACGATGTTGAGGACGCTGATACTTGTGCTCACAATGTGGGCTTGTCCATGTTTCATGGAAGAGACGGAGGATAACAAAGTGAACGATACATTTACTATTGAGGGCAAAGTGTTGGTGACTGGCGTAAAGGCAGCCGAGTGGTTACCACACACGCGAATTCTAGTGGACGGTGGACAATATGTCGGTTTCCTGAGGTAGGCCTTTATTATAAGAAAAAAAGGCTACTTTTACGAAACAACTCATCTAGCATTGTCTAGATTAAGTTGGCAGTGTCCAGCATGTGCAGTGATGTTCTCCATTGTATCCTCTTTCATTTCACAAAGATTTGGTTTGGGAAAAGAGGACAGGGCTTTGGTTTTTGAGAGAAATTATGGAGGTAGGCTAAACGGCAGCATACATGACATGATGAAGACGTGCTGTCTTGACGAAGACAATTTAGGGTAGGCCTATGTAGTATGGTCCTTTAAACCTGGATCAAGATTGTTGGCAAGTTTGTTGAATTTTCACAATGGCTGGGTTCGGACAACCAGACATGAAACAAACTGGTTTGATCCGACTGAATGCTTGTTGTTCGCCAAATGCAAAAGTGTTCTTTTGCTTAGATATTGGCAAAATTTGCCTATAATAGAGCTAGGCCTATAGGATTAAGAAGCGAATGCTTAAGGTCTAAATTTCAGGTATTTCGAAAAAGTGGACTTTGCTTCCTTATTTTAGGAACACCGTTATGGGTTATGAAACCCTTTCCGGAGGGTAAATATCTAATTCAATAATTGGCAGAGTTCTTAAAAAAGATGTTGTTGAATAAAAACAAAAAAATAATCCTGGTGCCTTTTTTCCACCTATGCACATAGAGGGCACCTGTACATTTCTGGAAGACGCTGCTGGTCTTTGTATCATGAATAATGTTGTGGTTTACTAATAATAGGTGTTGGCACAGGAGGATAAATGGGGGGTGGACGGTGGAGGATACTGTGTTGGAATGGTTTTTTGACGTATAAAAGCTGATTCTGGTATTTATTTGTATGAGAAAGTGTATTGATATGATGAAGATTTATTAAAGGCAAATTTTCAGTTTGCATACTGTAGGCACTGGCTTGAACCCCCCTCGGTATGCATGTACCTCCCTTCCCCCCTTCATGCGTACGTACTTTATGGATGGCCCCTAACAGGGACTTGCAGGGACTTTTGATGGACTCGAATACAACACTGCTCCATTCATTGATTTTTTTTTCTCACTTGCCCCTGTCATTCCGTTTTTATTTTTCAAAATTTTTGTTCCAGGGGGCAAGTGCTCTTCGACTCGTGTTTTCAAAAACATTTTTAACATCTTACAAAGTTATGTCAGTCAAGAATTAGCTGCATGTATTCAGCCTCAGGAAGTCCTCCTTTTGCACGTTGAAGGGATGAGAAGTCAATTTTTATTGTAATTTGCCTGTACTTTTCATTGTATCAATCACATGTTCAATCACAGAGCTGACGGGGCTTTCAAAGTGACTGGTGTCCCTTCAGGGTCCTACGTAGTGGAAGTTGCCAATCCCACCTACGTCTTTGAGCCGGCTCGGGTGGACATCACCGCCAAGGGTAAGATGCGAGCGCGCAAAGTCAACCACATCCAGAGCAACGCCGTGGTCACCCTACCGTACCCACTGCGCTTTAAGTCTAAACAGCACGCTATGTACTTTCAGAAGCGAGAGGAGTTTAGGATAACAGACATGCTGAAAAATCCCATGGTGAGTCTCGCATTCTTCCTGTTACAATGTAGCTCAAGTGAAAAAAAAAAAGTCTTTGCTTTTTTTAAAAAGGAGAGGAGGTAGTCATTTTTCTTTCCTTTTCTATTTCATTAAAGGGCAGATTTTGACAAGATGGCAGATGGATTTACTGTGTTTTTTTTGTCCCGAGGAGTTTTCACCACATGTGACAGTTTTGAACTTAAATTTGTAGCAAAATATTCAGTTAGAAATTGGGTAATTCTATAAATTAGGAGTCCCTGTCACATAAAATGTGATTTTATAAGGTCAGAACACATTCTGTAATTTCCAAGGGTGATGAAGTAATGCAAATTACCTGCCAGGCAACTAGAAATTGTTTGAAATCAGTTTCAGTGATGCGTTCATGTCAAATTACACAGTTCAGGAGACACAAAAATGTCAAACTTTTGGACCCCGAATTTATAGAATGACCCAACTGCTAAAAAGTTAAAATAAATTCAAATTAAAAGAAAAAAAATGAAAACAAGTACATGGGGAAAAAGGAAGTTGACAGGACAAAAACTGTTTTCCTTATGGCTGTAATCACAGCTGCTTCTGGCCCTTTTGGTAAGATTGAAGATGTAATTGGGCTGTATGGCCGTGTGCATGTTTCACTGGCATGTTCAGAATTGTGCTTAGAATTGTAAGGTAGTCAGACCATCGGAATTCACTTTAATGTGATGACGGTTTTTAGTTGTTTACAAGTTTCCCGCTTTTCTGTGTTGCAAAGATTTTACATCCAAATAAACATAGTACACTCTGGATTGTACTTGAAAGCTTGTCCAGAAATTGAACCTAACAAAGTGGACTCTTGATACAAAGAGCACTCTTGGAGCTAAAAATTATTACCAAAAGCAAATCTGTAAGCCCAATATCTGTTAAATTTCTTTGTTTTTTTCTTTTTCAATCTTCTTCATGTAACAAGGTTCTCTTCTAACAAAATTTGGCTAACTCCAGCTACTCAGTTATGTGAATGACAGTTTGGAAACATTTTTCATGGTGAGCTCAACTTCTTTGCCTGCAGGTTCTGATGATGATTCTACCACTCATCTTCATTGTAGTCCTGCCCAAACTCATCAACACTCAAGACCCAGAGATCCAAAAGGTAAAGTAACTCATCTAGAACGATTGTCAGTTGTTACTGACACCTTTAGGCTGCTGCATACATGTAACTTGCAGCTATCAGTGGGATTCACCTATTGTTAAGGCATGAAGACAAACGTACAAACAGCTTCTGAGTAATTAAATTAATTTCATGCAGAAAATAATAAATACAAGATGGGACCCAACCTATTACATGAGTCACACGTCACCAAAGCCACATTGGAGTGAAAGGCCTATGAAAGACATGAATCCTGAGCAGTGTAAATCAGTAGGAACGCTTGACATCTTCTAGCTGCATAACGTCCATTTTTATCAGGATATCATCCGGATGGCAAATTAAAACAGAGTTCCCTTTGCCCTGTCTGTGGCAACTACAAAATAACCCCCCCAAAAAGGACTAAAGACTTATTTTGTAGATCCAGTCACATTTGCCTCCCTTAAAACCTTACTTTGCCCCTGTAGTGATGAGGTTGTGGAATCATTTCTTCCTGGTATTCATTTCCTTCCTTGCAGGAGATGCAGAATATGAACCTGATGAATCCCAAAACAGAGATGCCAGACTTGTCCGAGATGATGGCCAAGATGTTTGGAGGAGGTTCCTCTCAGCCCAAGAAGAAAGAGAAGACGGCCAAGATAAAGAAGATCAAATAGCTGAAATAAAACCTGCAGGCATTGGAAATGGATGTGGTCACTGGTGGTATGTGGGACATGGTGTTGAGGCGAGTGGTATAAGCCATGGTGTTATCAATTATGGTTCTTTCCGTATGGTATTTCAAACCATAAGGTATTAGACCACCATGCCAAAATTAATCGAGGTTTTCAAATACCACTGCATTATATCTAAGCACTGACTCAAATTTGTCATTAGAAAGCTTTTTTAATTTTTGAAAATCCGAAAATTTGGAATTGTCATTTGTAGAAAGAAACTGCAGTTTGATTGCCCCTTTTTCAGACTACAGTGAACACTGCCCATGACTTAGATCAAAGATATGCACATGTTTTGAGCATTAGTGGTGATGTGGACGGTGGTGGACAAAGAATTTTTCCGTATTCCCACTCTGACTTCCCATTATGTTCCTTGAACCCAAGAGGGCAGAGACCATGGGGATTGTCCAGAGCTGTTTACAGAGAGTTGTGACATGCGTGTTTCAATTGTTGGGACCAAAAGGATGGATTATGTGTGGGCGGACGTGGCTAATTAGCACACA